CAGACTGAGACAGTTTCGTGAACACCATGACGAAATTAGAGCTAAGTCATCTTGCAACATGACGCAATCCTCGACTGTCTTAACTGACGTGTAGATGTTAAGGTCATCAGCGAAAAACAAATGGAAACACTTCAGTTCAAAAGACAAGTCATTAATAAATATCAAAAACAATAATGGACCTAGATTTGACCCTTGAGGTACCCCGGACGTGGCCCGATAGTAACTCGACCTATGACCACCATATTCGACAAATAACCTTCTATCCCTCAAATATGAAATCATGAGCGACAGCATTGCATCAGACATACCCACTGTTTTAAGCTTATCCAGAAGTGCATAATGATCAACTTGATCAAACGCCTTCTGAATATCTGTGTAGATTACATCAACTTGTCCCTGACAGTCCAGTACTTCAGAAATGTACTGAGTAATTAGAGCCAAGTTGGTGACCACCTAAAAATGCAATCGAAAAATTTCAAGCCGACAAATCTAACCACTCGGGAGATTCAATTTTATCATCGATTTAGAAAATACAACTTTAACACCCTATATCTCAGTCAAAGAGCATTTTAGGAAATACCCTTATAGAGTTCACAAGACCGCTGCATGCAAGCTCTTGCAGTTGAAAGGCGGCATTATTTTGTCTGCATCCAATCACTCGCAGGTGCAAGTCGGCCCTGTTTCCTCGATTCAAACGAGAAAGGTGAACCAACATAAACGAATGAAATGTTCCCTGTTACATTCATAACCTATCTGTTTTGTTTTTTACCCTTCAGAACAATGGATTTAATATCCAAAAACTAGTTTCAATCGCCGACCATCCAACATCAAAACACAATCAAACGCATAATTGTAAATAATACCAACACAATGACCACACAGGCAATTGGACTGGATTAGGGACAATCGCATGCAATGGTAACTTGTAAATCACTAACTACTCTGCCAGAATTGCAGACAAATTTTCATGAAAACTCCATCTGATTGATTCTCATGCAAGACCCCGTCGGTTGCAAGAAAATGATTGGAAAAATAAGCTGTTTTGTTAGTACGGCATGCGTCTGATCATGATTCCTCTTGCCCTTGGCGACTGTAAAACGGGTATTATACCGGCCCTTGCTCTTGAGTAGTCGTCGCTTGAAGTTTGGCTTCGTAACATTCTCAACACCCCTTATAGAAGTATCATAAAACTAGTCGGGGAGATACAGTTTCGATTAATAACGTAGAAACCATTGTGCTCTTTTCGGCCATTCAAGTTGCTCTATACAGTAAATAGTTTGAACAAATTAGACGAAAATACCCCTGGTTTGCGAAATAATTGTAGTCTTGTTGCTGCCAGTTGTCCAAGGGGGTATTTAAAACATTGACGCATAAAATAGGTACACAACTTTTTATTCGACAACAAAGAATGAGAAAACATGTTTTTTGGGATTCAATCGAAGGTGTTGGCAGGAACAAAAACACTCTTCATATAAGATGTTCAAGTATTTATGAGGCCTACAAAATGAAATCACACGTAAAAATATCCGACTAATAGCTAAAAGGTTATGGCCGAAAACCGAGGCAAACTGCAGGTTTTGGCACTTGTTGGTAATGCAACGATAGTTTCTCGCAGATACTTGAACTTCTTCAAAAATTCGTAGGATTCGCACTTCTACATAACCACAATTGGAGTATATTGGTCAAGTAGTTTTTGAGAATTCCTATTTGTTTATCCCAAAACACTTGCTTTCCAGCCATCACTACTAGCTTATTGAGCAATATACAGGGTTAGTTGAAAGGGCATTTTATATCTAAATACAATAGTTTACCTTGCCGATATGAATCGCAAACCATCCCGGGAGATAAATGTTATTTTTATGCAAAAAAGGATGGTCTACGTTTCTTCTAAACAAATTCAAACATTTCGTTTTGGTGAGTAATTCGCAACAAACGATTATAGACACATCCGCTTTATTTTAAAATGTGTATAGTTACATATGTTTTTCGAATATCGTAGCGCATTTGTTCAATTACTCACGAATAGGAAATGTTTGAATTTGTTCAGAAGAAACCTTTGTTTTTCGAATAAAAATAACATTTATGTTCCGGAACGGTTTGTGATTCATATCGGCAGGGTAAACACGTGTAATTTGCTATTACATGCTCTTTGAATGAACCCTGTATAGTGCTCAATAAACTAGTAGTGATGGCCGGAAAACAGGTGCTTTGGAATAAACAATTAGAATTTCTCAAAAAACCACTTATCCAATATACTCCAATTTTGTTGTTCTTATTTAGAAGAATGAATCCTACGGATTTGAAGAATTTCAAGTAGTTGCGTGAAATTATCGTCGCATTATCAACAAGTGGCAAAACCTGCACTTTGACTCGTTTTTCGGCCATAACGTTTTCGCTATTAGTCGATCTCTTTAGATGTGGTCTCATTTTGTAGGTCTCATAAATACCTAAAAATCTTATATAAAAAGTGTTTGCGTTCCTATCAACACTTTCGTTTAAATCCCATTCTTAGCAATACCTCACATCTCATGATTATCAGGCTGTCTCTCTCCCACGCACCGTCCAATCATGCAGACATTACAAATATATGTAGGTACCTCGAACGACATTATATCCCTCGACGCTATGCGCATCAGAATATAAAAATACTCGGAAAATAATGGCATACCACCAAGGTAAGTAAAGTACTATTTTACTACCTATGCATTTTGTAATGGAGTCTTGTTCAACCCGATTCGGATACCATCCCACTTTTTTTTTTTGAGAAAAAACATGAAACAATATTGCATGAAACGGCTGGGAATCTTAACCGATTGGTTATTTAAAAATCTCTAATTTCTCTGTGTAGGGCTTCCAGTAGTGATGCAAGATGCATGAGCACCTTCCCTTTCTGTGCATCAAGTAATTCTTGACTGCCGTAATTTTTTGTATACCGCAGTAGCCGTGTAACCAGGAGTCTAAATACAGGGACACCGCTGCTATAAGGAGCTTAACGACTTTTTGTTAATCCGATTTTTAAACTGGCTAAGGTTAGTAGAATTGGAAAAAGCTTCCTCAGGCAGATTGTTCCTCAATTTCGGCTCCCCAGGAACAAAGAAGCGGTCGTATCGGCCAGTTCTGGATGTACGAAGTTCGACACGGTTAGGATAGGAGGGCGAAGTCAGGCGGCTCTGTCTGACAGGCTTATCGCGTGGCAACATCATGGAGAAGAGCTCTGAGGAGCAAAGCCCGTTGAAATAGCGGTAGAAGAGGGCCAGATTGTCAACGGCCCGTCGGTGTGAAAGTACCCCGAGACTATCCGTTACAGAAGAATCATCGATCAGTCGGACAGCCCTCCTAGAGCGAGCATGGATAACGTAGTTGATGTGTCAGCACCCCAAACATATGAGCAGTACTCGAGGCTATGTCTTATCTGAGCCTTACGCAAAGTGCGGACGTTTCCTATGTACGTATTCAATGTCATCTGAAGCCGGTTCTGATAGAACCATTAAGTTGAAGTGTGTCGCAACTGTGGGATTATAGCGAAGCCAGTCCGCCGAATCTTTTTTGGAGGTCAACTGGACCGGTTTAATTTCACCTTTCCAATTCGCCAATTAAAAGCACCGTTATGTTCAACTCGTGGTACTACCTCTGCCAAATGCTCATGCACGAACTACTATTATAACGCAATATTCCCGCTGAATATGCTATTCAACATCTGGTAGTTATCCAATTAGTTATCAGACCAGCATCTTTTAAAGTAAAGCTCAAAACCAGATGGTAAAGCTTCGTGAAAGGATAATATGTTAAAAAGTGAAGTACAAGCTCGATGTGATCCATTTTGTTTGTTGGGTGGTGGCTGACATGTCAATATCGCAGCACATTAAGCCCTTTAGCTAATACTGATATAGTGGCCGATCACAGATCTACAATGAAACAATAGTTTCTAATATTACCTTCTTGTCATGTAGATATCTCAGTCCTCACATAATTAACGACAATTTTGAAATTAGCTTAATAGAATAATCTAACGAATCTTGGATATTTGAGACTCCCGACCTGTAGCATGGACACTAAAACCGCTTGAGTGTCTCCTAGCCACAAGGTAGGATAAAGTGGACCACTTTTTATAAAATTCAAGTTATTGATGCACGTTTTGCTGACGTCTTAAAGATATTTCATTCTCTCTGTATTTGATTTCTTCCTTTAGCTTTGATAATTGCCATTTTCCAATATACTATATATAAACTATGCTTGGTTCACAAAAAAGTGGGCTTTATAAAAACAGTTTCTTTGGTAGGCAGTGTACCTACCAATTTTGCATCCTATATGAAGATAAAATGAGGGTATAAGTTTGACAGGTTAAAAATAGGTAACTACTCATTCATAAATTTTACGACTCTTTCATAATTTGTTTCTCATTGCTGGCGTATGTAATGCCTCAAAATAGCAGGGTACAGTAGTGAACTACTTTTCAAGTAATAAAATATTTCTGGCCTTTGCTACAATGCAGCTGATGGTCGGCGTAGAACATATTGTCAATTTTTCTAAATATTATCTTATGGATAAGTTCCCACAAATCAATTGTAGATATTGTTTCAGCTTCTATCTAACAAAAAAACTCTCAGGATGGACAATTCATCTCAAATTAAGTACTCTATCAAAAAATGTGTTAGATATTTTGTTCAAAAAAAGCGGCGTAGGTAATGTTTTTTTTTTCATTCAGCAGGCGCCATATCTGCCAGTTACTGCGCTACTAATCTACTAGTATGGTTGCTTTGAACAGGAAGCAACTTTGAATCATTCACTTGACTGTAGTTTATGCATGTATTTCACTGCTATATAAATGAGCTGTACGAAAATATCTATGATCCTTCATCACTTGAGGCAGATTTCTCCCAGAGGAGCTTTGCAGATTGGTGACTGACTTCCTCTCTGTATGCAAGACATCCGTCGCATTTAATGGATTCTCCAAGTTTAACGAGGGTGTCCCACAGGGATCGGTCTTGGCTCCGGCATAGATTCCATTACATATCAACGACCTCCTTTCCTGCACGATCAATCCGATCCACATCATTGCTGATGCAGGAAATCTGAGTGCCGACCCGCATATTGTCACTAAGCTTGAGAGAAGAAGACTAGCAGCGACTTCCTCTCTGGAGGTTATCACCGTGTGGAGATGCAACAATCTGGAACGAAATACAGTATTGTACCTTGACTAACAAGAAGCGTCCCAGCGTTCATCCGGTTCAGATGTATGGCCAAAGAGTCGTTCATTTCTGCTGATCGGAATTCAGATCATCGAGGACTTGATTTGGCACAAACATATCTCGTCAAGTACAGCTGGGGAAAAGCTAGGCTATCTGTTTAGGACTAAGAAGTACTTTTCTCTACTTAACGTCATTGAACTGTACAAATCCCTGATAAGAACTTTACTCGAGTACTGCTCACATGTTAGGAGTGCTGCCACCCTGACTGGATGCTGTTCAGCGAAAAACCGTCCGTCTGATCGTTAACTTCTGTAACAAATAGTTCGGAGACATTTCGCATCGACATACTATGCTCCTCCATGATGTTGCCACGCGATGACCTTGGCCGACAGTCCCGCCAGACTTTGGCCTCCCATCCTAATCTTTTCGAACGTCGTACATCCAGAACTGCCTGGTACGACCGTTCCTTTGACCTTAGGGTGTCGAGATTATGAAGGCTTTTCCCAGTTCTACCAACCTTAGTTCAAAAATCGGATAAGCGAGGTGCTTCGCAACAAAAAGAAATTATGAATAGACTTTTAGTTGCATGTGGTATGGACATACCATAGAGAACAGCATCAAGCACTATATTGCAGAGACTAGGGAGTTTCGATGAGTAAGACTTCCTAAGCACTTTTTACACTTTAGACGAAACAAGCTGACGAAGAAATATAAACATATCCGACGAGCTTTTTACTTGGCAGATATTCAAAAGCTTCCCAACAAAAATACTAGCCTGCGTGTGCAAAAAAGTGAAATTATGGAAAAGCAAACGTGTTGGGCGAAAGAAAACAGAGCTGTCGATGGGTTCCGGAAGGCGCTAACAGATAAACAAACATGAACCGGTACGATAAGTATGCGGCATTGTGCAATAACTGCCCAGGTAGGAAATGTATCGAAAGTAAAAGTGTCAGGTGCGCTGAACAAAAGGACATGTACCTGTTTCGGAGACTTTTGGGGGACAGTTCGACCCTTTTTCGATCTTTTGCCTGACTTCCTATGTATCGGGAAACTGAAGGTGCTTTCGTTTAAAAAGGTGGGTTTATGTAAATGTCCACGCATCCATCAGTCTTGTCAATTTTCCTGCAGTAAACTGGTTATAATTTTATACTATGTGTACGGCAACAAACCCAGAAAAGGTGGCTCTAAGGTTCATTGACAATTTGAATAACTGAAATGGTTTTCTGTGCGGTGCATCATCAGAGTTGGGGCTACGAGGGATGTCTTTTAAGTTTTGCATATAGAAACATAGTAGGCCGCGCGGATCGAACGTCAGTACTGAAACCTCTCTCTTTAGTAAACTTAAATTCAAAGTTTCACAACAATACGTGTTCTCACTACAGTGAATTTTTAAGTGTCACCAAGTCATTAGAAAAATGGAACTCAACCGAGAACATTTTCGCGCCATAATTTGTTACAACTTTCAGACACAATTATCGCATCAACAATGAATGGTATGGAGAATTCAAACGTGGACGGGTGAGTCTTAGCGACGATCCCAGGGTGGGTGCACCAGAAACGGCAGTCACCCAGGGAAACGTTCATGCTGTGGGCAAACTCATCATTGAAGATAGACATGTGACATATCGCGAGATTGAGGCGTCCTTGAGGATCTCAAAGACCTCAATTCAATAAATTTTACATGAAGAACTAGGAGTAAGAAAATTAGTTTCTCGTTGGATACCCCACCTGTTGACTGAAGAGCAGAAAGCATCCAGGGTTAATTGGTGTCAAAAAAAGCTTGACCGTTTCAATTCCGGAAACTCAAAACATGTGTACAGCATTGTTAATGGTGATGAATCGTGGATTTACTGTTATGAACCAGAAACTAAACGACAGTCGGGTGTTTGAAGAAGGTGAAGAAAAGCCAACAAAAGTCATCCGTTCTCAAAGTGTTTCGAAAAAGATGTTCGCGACATTTGTGTCAAAAGCGGGTCATATTGCAACAATTCATCTTAATGAGCAAAGAACTGTTACTGCGGATTGGTATCCCACGATTCGTTTTCCAAAAGTCATCACCGAGCTTCGAAAAATCAACCCCGAAAGAAGAATCATCCTCCACCAAGACAATGCAAGCACGCACACGGCCCAAAAAACAAGGCAGTATTTAACGGAAGAAAACATGGAATTATTGGACCATCCTCCATATAGTCCCGATCTAAGTCCTAACGATTTCTTTACTTTCCCGAAAATTAAAAACAGACAGCGTGGTCAAAGGTTCCAGTCACCAGAAGAAGCAGTTGACGCGTTCAAAAATGCAGTTTTGGATCTGCCAGCAAACGAGTGGAATAAGTTCTTCGAAAATTGGTTCGAGCGTATGCAGATGTGTATTAATCTTCGTGGAAAATACTTCGAAAAACAATAAAGTCATTTAAAACTACCTACCGCATTGTTTTATTTCCATATGCAAAACTTAAGACATCCCTCGTATTCAAAGAGAACTGAGCCAGGTCCGATTTGTTTGAATTCGGGGCAGAACTTAAGACAAATAAAGATTCAGAGTTTTAGATGGCGACAAACAATAAGGCTTTGTAAGCTTTAATTTATTGTGTTTTGCAACTAACATAGTTTATGTATCAGTCATTAACACGGTTTTTGAGTTTAATTACTGTGTTTTTGTATCAAGATTATATTCTTTGTTAGATTTTACTGTATTTAGGATTGCCTTGTTTTTACAATATAGTTAAAATTTACTGGAACTGATACTAAAGTTGGTTTTAATTTAAATTTCTGCTGTGACATGCTCTTGAGCGAAATGCCCTCTTAGACTACATTAAGTTAGTCTGGGAAGTTACCTTTTCCATAGAAGGATTTGATACCGGTACTCTGCTTATAACAGAACATCAATTTTGATGATCTGCAAAGTATTTGAAAATATTGCCTCATTTTGGCATTCACCTCTTTATCGTTCCCAGATGACTGAGAATCAGTTAGTCCTGGCAACCCTAGTCCACATTACTATGTCACCACTACATACAGCGTTTTATATTTTTCACTTTTTGCGGCTTGTAATACTCATACCAAAAAGGGCAGTATTTAAAGAAGGCTTCAAACTCAGGCCCTTCTCAGCATAGAATCTGTCACCATAAATCAGACATAAATGAGAACGATTGTTTAATTATTACGTATTCCACCACTTCGAAGCTACTGGAGAAAAAGTATTCTGCGAAGTAATGAAACCCCGAGAAAGGCGAACATACCGGGAAAAGCTAGCTTCCCGTGTTACAGCTAAGCCACTATTCTAACGCGAAAAAGTGAATTGACATAATTGTACAATAACAAAAAAAATGACCTCTGCAGAGAGGTGTGCTTGCATTTTCAATTTTATGCAATGTGTACAAATAGTTTTTCAATATATCTATATATGTAGCGTATATTACAAGGACTTTCTCAGTCATAGAAATGAAGAGGATTCAAACAATCGTTTTGTTAGAAAACAAGAAAGCTCTTGAATAAGTATATTTCGTGAAAGCGGATAAGACAAAGTATATATATATATATATATATATATATATATGCTGCAACTGTAGATATGGAAATGAAAGATATAAAAAAAATTATAATATTAACCACTCACCTACCGACAAAGCTGTCCATCGTACAAATATTATCAGGAACAACAAAACTTAAGGATACTTTTTTAAAATTCAAGTTCATCTTTTACTACTCCTATCTCTAAAGAGGACCTAAAAATGTCAGTAAATAAATACATTAATGATTTCCAAATTCCAAGTATTGCAACAAATATAGCACAAAACGTCGATGAACTTAATTTATGTACACAAAATTCTGATGCAAAATTTCGAATTTTTAATATGAACATAAGGAGTATAAAACACAACATTGATTACTTAAAAATACTACTGGACCAAATATGGTACAATTTTGATCTAATAGTTTTAACTGAAACGTGGCGAGTGGCTGATATTTCTTGCTTCAGTCAGCAGGGGTATGACACGGTGTATAACTTTGGCACTTATAACCAAAACGATGGGGTGATTGTTTTTGTAAGAAATAAACTGCAATATAATCATGATACATTCACTTTCACCGATGGAATCAAAATTTTAAACATAATGATCCAAATTAACCATAACAAAATTGAGGTATCTGCAATTTATCGTCCGCCATGTTCAGAACCCCACGAGTTTTTAAAGAATATCGAATTTTTTTTTCAAAATCAAAATAAAGTTCATTTAAAGCAACATATTTTCTTGGGAGATGTCAATATAAATATTTTGGACGATGGTCCCATCACAAATGAATACTTGAATATCCTATCAAGTAACGGATTTCTGTCCTATATAAACCTACCTACAAGGTCCATCAGTGGCACATGTATAGATCACTGCTTTGTGAAAGACTTATCCAACAAAATTACTTGTATACCAATAATCCTAGAAAGCGATATTACTGACCACTTCTCCACTATTTTACTGATATCTTCAAATGAAAAACATTCTAACATCCCTACCGTTAGTAACAACCAGGAAAATTACAAATTTTTTGTCGACAATTCAGAACTAATATCAAATGTCAAACAAGAATCCTAGGAACAATTATACTCTATAAATAATATAGACAAAGCAACGGGACTGTTCATAGAGAAAATAAAAAAACTAATAGATATTAGTACCAATAAAGTAATAATTAGTCACAAAGAGAAAAGCAGAAATGCCTGGATTACCAAAGGATTAATAACATCGGCAATAGAAAAAGAAAGACTATATAATGTAATGAAACTAACGCCAACTACAGAGAATACCGACTGCTACAACCAATATAAAAATAAATTTATAGAGCTTGTAAGGCAAACCAAACGAAAACATTACCTAAATAAATTGAATAATAACTTAAATTATCCTAAGCAGCTTTGGACAACTATTGATGAGATTACTGGGAAAACAAAAGTTAAAGAGTGTGTCACTGAGTTAAATACAACATCGGGAACAGTATTAAAAAATACTCAACAGATATGCGAGGGAATTTGTACAATTCTTTACTGACATAGGCGAAAATTTAGCAAGTAATATACAAGCAAATGTACAAAATACTCAGCCTCAAAAAGAACTTTGAACTCATTTATTTTGGATAAAGTCGAGCAATGTGAAGTATACACCACTGTTATGTCCTTAAAAAATCGGAAAAGTCCTGGGTTCGATTGTATTAAAAGCGAGCAGTTGAAAATTATAGCCGAGGACATAACAGAACCACTCACTTACCTAATCAACAAATGCTTTGAATCTGGCATATATCCCTCAATTTTAAAAAAAGGTAATATAATACCGATACATAAATCAGGAACAAAAACAGATGTTAAAAACTATAGACCAATATCAATAATATCCAGTGTAGCAAAGGTTTTTGAAAAAGTTTTATCTACTAGAATGATTCGATACCTCACAAAATTCAAAATTTTAAGTGAAAATCAATATGGATTTACAGAAGGGAAGGCTACATCGGACACAATAACTAAAATTGTAAATCAAATACATCAAAATATTGATAACAGAATCCCTTCAATCTGCATTTTTGTTGATTTAAAGAAAGCTTTCGACACAGTTAATCACAAATTATTATTAGAAGCATTGGAGAGAATTGGTTTCAGAGGAAACGCGTACTCACTGATCGAAAGTTATTTGTCAAATCGCCCACAATCTATGCAGATATCAGGATCATTTAGTAAAGAAATGTATATTAAGTGTGGTGTCCCACAAGGAACTGTCTTAGGTCCGCTGTTATCCAATATATATTTAAATGATATTTTCCAAATTAATTGTGTTGGCAAAATAACTAGTTTTGCAGATGATACTGCAATATTATATGAAGGCACTGACTGGTCTGATCTGAAAAATGTAATTGAAAATGATTTTATCAAAATTATTCGGTGGTTTAACAGTAGAAAATTAAGCATTAACTACTCTAAAACACATTTTTTACCATTTGGATCTTATGCTAGACATCTACCAAATTACACAAATTTCTCCTTCAATATTAATGATCAAAAAATGCAAATTAATAGAGTGCCCAACATAAAATACCTTGGAGTGGTCTTTCATCCTCACTTACGATGGGACAGCCATCTCAATTATATTTTAAAGAAAGTTAGATTTGTATCATACAAAATTAAATACCTTGGGAATATATTGACAGAAAAATATCTTCGAACATTATACCATGCACTGATTGAGCCTCATCTCCCATATGGTATATTAGCATGGGGAGCTGCATGTTCCTCGCATATCTATAATTTAGATGTTTTTCAAAAAAGTATTCTAAAAATGATATTTAAAAAACCGAAACTTTATCCCACTGAAAAATTATACGCAGATGTTCGAATGTATGATATAAGACATCTTTATTTCTTACACAGTATCACTCACTACCATAAATTTGTAAACACCGACCAAAAAATTAAACATAATCATTATACCAGGTACAAAATTCGTGGCACAGTAGTTCCTCAATAAATCTATAATGCAGCGATCATATTTAGCGCCTAAATTTTATGAAATTATACCTAAAGACTTAAAAGATTTACGTTTCGGAAATTGTTTCAAAAGAAATTTAAAAAAGTGGTTACATTCTATATCTAGGACTGAAATTCATAAACTCATAAATACGAACATCAACTAAATACATAATCTACTGTAGCTAATTTTTGTCCTTTTTTGTCATTTGCATTCTACAGTTTCAACTTAAATTTATTGGTCCATGTACAGGCGATGCCTTCTATTGGGCCTGTTTTGATTTTATATTTATTTACTCATATTTTTTGTTATCTTTGTACATTGAGTGAATAAATACTATTATTATTATTATTATATTGACGTAGTACCTTATTTTTGTTGTGAGTGCATTTAAAATTGGTATTACGGTGCGGAGGGTAGATGGATATTGAAAGAAAAACAAATTTAGGATTCTGATAGAAACACCCGAATTGATTGTGTAAAACTATTCTATCGTGATGTCACGAAAAATTTTCAAAATTTGAGAGCCTGTTTTCCGTGCTCTTCTATGAATTTAAGTTTCTAACCATTAGTAATATTTTTGTTTGTTGCTATCGAATATAATCGTTTTCGATGTTTTCCTTAAGAAAGTTGAAGGTCTGCACTTTGCCTGGTTCTTCTCTACTCACTGTACTATTCATATCTCACTAACTATGACGAAAATGCTAAACACAATGTTGGCGATTTTTATATGGTTTCCCTTAAGCTACAATGAGCAGCTCACAGAATGTGAGATACAGTTCGCAATCAACTCATCAAACAAACAAAAAATGTCTAATAAGACTTGCAGAGTGTTGTTATTCGTCAGACATCCTTTACTTAAAATTTTATAATTTTTCTTTCACATGAAAACTCATAAAATTTCTCCTTCAGTGCCAAATTTTACATCGATTCAAAGTTACAAAACTCTCTCATCGCAGCAAAGAGGATATACACCATTTGTACTTATCTTTCCTATCATATTGATATCAGTGCTAAGGCAATTAAAATGCACAACGTTCTGGGTGATTAATCGACGATTAACTTAAATTACTTAATTATTCAAGTTGAGCTACCGTCGGTTTAAAATAGCAATTACAGGCAATTCACGCAAAGCGTTCTATACAACTTTCTATCGTAGATCTGGACAAAATTTTGACTGCGTCTTATTTGCATTTAACATTCATCTCCCACATTAATGTATGAAGGGTCTAAACAGATTTCTACATTTTACACTAAAACACAACTATGTTTCACTAAATAGCGGCAACAGACGCAAACATTCCCTTTTGGAATTTTGATTATCTTAAGTCTAGGGAGTATCTTCGCAGCTGCTCGGTGAAGTATTCTGATTGGGTTTTTTGTATAATTTTGTTCAAAAATTGCGTCAATGGATGATTAAACAGATTCCTAAAATAAAACTTGACATAATTTTGTGGATACCAGTAATTTAATATGTCAAAAAGTGTAAAATATGTCATTTTCGGAAAACAGTGCGAAGAAAATTTTAACGTTGTTAAAGTTCTTAAATATTCTCCAAGCTTCCGTCAATAAAATCCTAAGCCTAGTATCTGACACAGCTACTTTTGCTGCGCAGCATAGTAGAAAACTGCGCAGCTTGACCTGCAAGAAGTCTGAACATCCGCGCAACCTGAAAAGTTGCTTGTGCAACTCTGATTACGCGCAGTATTTTCTTGCTGCTTTTAGAAGTAGTCAAGTGTGAACAGCGATATTTGTGGGATGCACGTGCAGCAAAAGATATCAAATCGGTTGAAACTTTTGCTGCGGCAGCCGGTGCAGTTTTTGAGGGGAAAGTGGAATCAGAGAGCATGGTAAATAGCTGATGTGATTGATAGAGGTACTTTTACAGTATAATAATCTTTACATTTTTTTTGGAAAGACAGGCACGAAACAAATCAGTCACACCAAAAAAATCACTCATACACAGGAAAATCAACAAAGGGAAGCCCACCAACACGAAACACACTAATGTGAGCTTTTGTTTTTCCACTGTGGAGTTTGCTGAACACACTTTCACGATACTTCATCACGGATAAACGTCTAAAAGTAACAGTTTTGCATTGTTTCTAATATGTTCAGCTATCATTTTTCGCGTTGTTCCCTGATAAAGTATAGTGAAAGGGACTGTACGTTTGCCAAGTTTAAGGGAGATCGCATCGTCGCCGTGGGCAGGAAAAAAAATCGAGCAATGTCCCCTAACTTGTCAAGTATCTCACTTCAGTCGTTAAAGTAGTGACAAATAATAAATCGTCAAAAGGTAGTTAGTAATTTGGCGACAAATGGCTAAACTGGTAACCCATGCACCACTTTGGAAGGCGTGATACGAGTTCTCTCATTTTGTGGCTCATATCGTGTATTTGTGGCTTTTTGATGTGATTGACTTGCTTTGTGCGAGTTATAATCTACATAAAGATATCGATAGTTACAGATGTCGTCAAAATCGAACGTATTGATTTGGAAGCGGGAGGAAATCAAGAAACTTATTGAAGCGGTGGAGGCAAGAGAATGGTTATGGAATGTGAAAAGTCCACTTTACCATAATCAAACAAAAAGACGAGCGGCTATTTGGGAAATTTCTTTAGAAATTAATATATCCGAAGAAGAAATGAATAAAAAAATGCATACGTTAAAGGCTCAATATTCCAAGGAGCGAGCAAAAATGAAAGGTTCTAAATCGGTATCGGCTTATGCAGTCTTTTACCCAGACTCTGTTTTTTTTGTCTTGTCTACGTCTCTGCCTTTCTACCAAAATCACATATAAACATGCCGCTGTTTGCACTACAGGATCCATTGCTTTCCTTCGACACAATCTTCACTACGTCAAGAGCAGTCTGCGCCGTACAAGAAAAACTGCGGCTGCAAACCAACGCAGCAAAAGCTTCGGCCTGAACACCCGCGCAGGTTTTATTCTAGACCTGCAACTTTTGGAGGTATTGGCAGCATGAAAACTGCAGCTGCTAAAAAACTACGCAGTAAAAGTAGCTGTGTCTGTTACTACCTTAAGGCGTTTTAGGTATGAACCTTTGCTTCTTAATTTTTAATCAAGCGGGTTCTTATGTATTTTTAGTGCGAGCGCGAGAGAGATGCAGCGCCTAGCTGAATACTATAACAATGCCCCTAAAATGCCTTGAGATTTCCTTAATGGATGATTAAGGTTTTCGTTTTTGGTATATTGTTATGCGGGTTGAAAATTGCATATTTTAGACCTTTTACTTCCTACGCTACTGGGCGAGGAAGAATTGCATTCGCGAAGTGTTTTTTAGCTGTTATATGACATGACGGAGAAATATGTCACTTATTTCCGTCTATCTGTCCGGTAATCCTTTGACCGCTTATAACTTTGATAGTACTGCTCGAATTTTGATGAAATTTTCTACTATTATGCCAAAAACAGAAAAGCTTTGTAAATTTTGAAAATCGGTCCAGAGGCGGCGAGGCTAGGGGCAAAAACACGAAAGAATGAATAAATAAAAATTGCTGATATTTAGATTTTTGATGCTTCAGACAAAAATTTGCAGGAGTTAAACATTTGAAGTTGGGGATTGTAGAGGATGACTGATTCTTCAGAACCTTTCTGTGCTTAGAATGACCAAAAAGGGCCAAAAACACTGTATCTAGAGCGAAATTGTTCAAAATAGATTTTGTGAACCATTATTGACGCAATTTGAGCCTGGCAAGATGCGGGTTGTTCTCTTCTTGAATGAGATTATGCAAAAAACAAATCATAATATTTGGTAAAAAAAACAGACTGAGCTTCTTCAAAACTTGGTGTTGTTGGTTATTTATAATTTTGTTCTACCTAAGCGACGGAGGTGGAGATTACTGCTACCTAACAGACTGCTCCACATTCAGGTAGTAACATGGTTGAAGTTTCATCGAGAATGAGAAGCGGAAGTCTGACGGGTCCATCTAGCAGACTTAATATGTGGCAGGTAAAATTACAACCCGTCAGGATATCTTACAGAATTTCATTAAGCCATAGGAAGGAAGTTAGTACACCATTGAAAATTGCATATTAACGACCTCAGGCATTGAACCAAAGTAAAGTTAAAAAATACCCATTTTTGAATATAAATACCTTTTGTGTGTTGCCTGGCAATTAATATCATTAAATTATACTGAAGCATCCAATTATCACAAGAATTCACAGAAAACTGAGGTCAAACGAATCGACCGTGCATTAGGCATTATAAAGTGTTACCTTCAAGCAGGATGCGATATTTTTATTTCAATGTTTGCAAATCAGCAGGAAGCTATAAATTTCGTAGCTTAACTTGACTTAGAGGTCACTTGTATCATGCATACAACGAATGGTTAATCTATTTTACTTCCTAGTTGCCATATTAATGGCGAAAACTTGAATGAGTACGTTGATCCTTAACCAGTTATGGTTATACAAGGTAAATCAGGGATGATACATTCTTCTATACTATTTTGCCAGAAGTCCTCTCCAACAAGAAATTTCTGGCCATCAGAGACTGTAGAATATAGTAAGCTAAATAAATTGATGATATGATGTACCTAGTTGTGAGTTGAACTAATCTGGTCCACTGTAAATCACCGTTCCGGATTATCAGAAATACATTTCAGGATGATGTTGATGCTTTCGGAACAGATGGCAAAAATTATTGGACATTTTTTGCCAACTTTTGCCAGGTTTTGTTTGGCTCACTGTACGATCGTCCGCCATTTTGAAAGATAGCAAATTTATCCTCTATGTTGATAAAGTACTAGCATGTAGCTTCAGAATGAAATGATCCAATACGGTGCTCAGCCGTCTTCTTGAAATTTTCAAATGTTACTTTTACGTCAAAATATAGTATTTATTCATTTCGACACACCGAATTTCAGCTTGCTAACTTCAAATCATAAGTATAAGGAGCCTTTCTGATTCTGTGACACCGGTTTGTAGTGCGTTTAATATTTTTCGAACTTTTCGCAGATGAACTACTTCTCGAGCGTGAACATTGTGGTTGTTAGATAGCGAACTTTCCGTCTAGATGTAATAACTGCGTTTGCATCCGAATGTCTCAATCATTCACCGTTACATCTTCCGTTTGACGGCTAATTAAACGCTTCCAAGATTAATTTTTCGCAGTCCGCGTTTTTTCACCAGCATAAAAAACC